CTGTTAAATGTCTACTAGGTTTCCTGCACCTTCCCTCAAAGCATCTGCTGGTGGGTGCTATCAGAGATAGGAGACCGGATTAGGTGGACCATTGCTGTGATCTGGTACAGAAGTTCCTATGTTCCTAGCCAGGGACCTTCATCTCCCCACATGCTCTAAGCAACCCCGGTTTTGGGTAGCAACCTTAAAATATCTTCCCACCCGCCTGCCCACCACTCTCCACCTAGTTTCCTGCTCCTATTAGGCAAATGGGCCCAATTCTGCTCTTGTTTGCACCAGTGTAAATCGATAGCATTACTGTAGTGTAAAACTGGAGTGAGGGGGCAGAATGAAGCCCAGGCTTTTGAACAGATCTCTTGGGTGTTTGCAGAGGTTGGGTTTGGGGTGCTGTTTGGTTTCAGAGACAAGGGAAACAGGCATGTTTGCTTGTTGTTGGCTTGTTGCGTATAGGGTCATATTGCAAAAGGTGCTCCCAGAGACTTTGGCCCATTCTGTTGGTCTCCTCTTCCACGTAAGGACACTGCTTTGTTTGTAGCATCTGAGCTTATCCCATAGTGGATAGCTGTTCACATTACAGGGGGCTTAGGCAGACACACAAACACAGAGACCCCCAAGCGCACTCCCTGCTTTGTGCTTAAGAGAAACCCTCGGGGAATAGAGGAGCCAGGAGAACAAAAATCGCCCACTCAGCCCAGATGCTACAGAGGAAACTGACCTCAGAGAGAGTACCCAGGAATGACCCCATCTTGAGTTGTTTGAAAGTGTGTCATTCTGAGAGCCCAATTTTCACTCTGTGTTGGACTGAAAAGGAACTTTTAGGGGCCAGGCCGGGCTTGCTAGTTAACTCCCGGCCTGCTTGTTTTAGTATTATTATGTAGCATTCGGAAGGGAGGGGGGTGTCTTTCTGAGAAGCAGCGGGTAAAGGTCATCTCCACTGATCTCATGCTTTGATAATACAATACCTAAACGAGCTAGCATGACATGTCAAATGTGATCTCATTTGGCCAAAATCCAAACTAGCCTGATTAAATACCAGAGTGACTTTAAAGGGATGCCATCATGTTTAGCCTGCCCAAAATCCCACTTCTGTGTTTTTCTTTAGGATCCATATAAACTTTTCTATGTGGTTTCACCTTACCAAAGCAAATGCCACAGTGCCCCTAAACTCCCCTATAACAAGAGACGTCTTATATCAGTGCTATTGAGCAACTCTACAATAACAAGCCACTTTGCATAGCTCTAGGCTTTATGAGGTACCTTACCACAACAAACCATCATGAAAAGCCTCAGTGCTTATGCAGAGCTATACAATAACAAACCATTGTTCTTGAGCAACACAAGCAAAGGGGGATAAGGTTAAGGAAACATCTATTTCTGTTTCAAGCTTCTAAGAGTTTATTGCACACATCAGTGGGGGGGAGGGGGCAAGGTCATTTATAAGAATGGTGAAAAGCATCCTTTAGTGCCCCGTTAAATGCCACCTGTGTTAATATTTTATTTGTAAGTTTGTACGTTTATATATGTGGGTGGAAATAAAAGAATTTTCATCCACATACGATCTACTGTGTCTCCCCCATGCTGGCTACTTTGCCCACGATGAAAGCGACAGAGTGGTACTTTTGTCAGTTTTACTTATTACCAGCTGAGAGCCTGTCCTAGCCTGGTGTATAATCAGTGAATCATGTGGAAGGGGGAGTTGTACTACATGCCTCGTTTTTTGCATTTCAGTGTCCAGACTACCAGAGTGTGTTTGTGTTTTCCTTTCTTGTAATCTTCCACCTCCTCAGCCCTGATTTTTTTTTGAGCTGTTGTTCACACTCCCTTGTGGTAGGAAGATCAAATTCTGCCTATTTCATCAGCAGACTCTGCTTTGCAAAGCAAAAGTCATGCTTGGATGAGAGGCATGTGATAATGCTTTCTCATTGGCTGCCTGCATGACCTCTCTGCTGGGCCTATTGGTCACCAGTTGACCACTTTTGACACTTGTAGAACATGAGCCTTTGATGGATTTATGGCATAGCTGCTGCAGCTCAGTGAGGAGGGAAAAAATACTTTTAGTGGCTGCCCAGACAGATACGAATGTAACGAGAAGGGTAACCAAATGGCATGTGTGACAGGGCCAAGAGCGACCCACTGCTTTTTGGATTTCAAAGCATTATCCCCACTTCTTCATGAACAGCCCTGGTTCTTGATTCATTATTATTCTCAGAGGGTGAGAAAGCAATTATTATTAGCAGTGTTAGAGTAGCACCCATAGCGCCGATTGTACCTGGTGGGCAGACCCTGCTCTGAAGAGCTAATAATCTAAGTAGACAAGACAGATAAAGGGCAGAAGGGGAAACAAGGCAGAGGGAGGTGAAGTGACTTGCCTGAGGTCACACAGCAGCTTGGTGTGTGCAATAGACTGCAGGGCTTCCAAGTCACAGCCCAGTGCCCAGCGCACAAGCCAACCCTGATTCTCAGGAATGCTAGCACCACATGGTGGGAGATGATGTTGCTTCATTTAGAACAATCTACATGGGCTGCCAGCAGCTGTTTCTCTTCTCTTCAGTGGGGGGCTTTCCCATCATGTCTCCATATCTCCCGTGCACAGGAACAGAACAGCGCTGACCACTGGCAGCAAGGGGCATGGATTGTTTTGCTTGTCTGCTCCTATAATGTGCAGCTCAGGCTCCCCCTCTGCCTTGGATGTCAGCCTTGATTAGAGGGAAAAAAGGGAGGAGGGCGGAGAAGAAAAAAGGAGACCCGTAGTCCCTTGAAAATGTAAATAAGGTGATTTTATTTAAATATCTTTCCTCACACCCCTTTAAGACTTGACACTTTCCTCCCTGTTCCCCCAAAGCTGTTTGTTTTTACACCAGCCCCCCAGTTCAAGCCCATTACGGAGCTATCCATGTGTGCACAGTACAGGGCCCAGGATGGCTGTCCTCCATCCTGCCTGAGCAGAATGTTCTCCTGCAGCTGAGTAGGGTAGCAGTGATGGGGGGGAGGACTGGTCTCCATGCTGAGTCTTGCCACCTGTTGCCTTTTTCATTCCAGGCCCCTTCCCCTCCCCTCCCCACATTGCTCACCATCCCCAGTGGATAGGGCTGGGAGCTGCCTCGCCTGCCAAATACCATTCTGATGCTGTCACTGCTTCTGCACAGACGGCATCTCTGACAGCAGAAATGAACCTTTCCCCAACCCGCTGCCCTATGCTTTCTGCAGAAGGCGTTCCAAAGTGCCCCTTCCTAGCTGGTGAGGGAGGAGGGGCTGTGGCACAGCCACTTCCAGAGTCAGCCCAAAGAAATAAAAGGCTGACGCTGAGCCAAAAGAAGCTCTTGCAAATCCATTGACACTGGCATTTGGCGCTGGCACGGGCTAATTTTGCACTCGCAGTTACTCACACACGCGCTCTGCTTCATCTGCTATGTATGGGAAGGCGCCCCAGCCTCTAGCTCGCCTTAGAATGCTGTAGTAAGAGATCTGTGCTGGGTTCGATTATGTTACGGCGCAAATCGGGCCATAAAAGACCACGAGCAGTCCTAGCAGCGCAGGCTGCCGCATTAACTGGCATTAACTAGAGACTGGTTGGCTTGAGCCACAGCGCTGCAAAGCTGCTCTGCCACCCATAAAAGCACCAGAGTGATCATGGACTTGATATCAGAGTTCCCTCCAAATTAAGGCTGGCAAAGGGACTGTGTTTTTGTGCGGCCTCCAGCTCCAGGCTTGGCTGTGAGCAGAGTGAATAGGGTAATAGACTGGGCATCTGGAGAAGGGAGTTCGAATCTCAGTTCTGCCTGAAACGCCCTTTCTGAAAATTGGGTAAATCACTCAGAGCATAATTTCCAAGGATAGTGGCTTTGGGTGACTCAGTTTTGGGTGCTCAACTTGAGATGCCTTGAAGGAAGCTGATTTTCAGATAGTCCTGAGCACCAGGCCTCTTTAAGGGGTCTCAAGTTGGACACCCAGAATCAGTAGACACTTGTGAAAATCTTGCCCTTAAAATTGGTCTGTCCCACAGTTTCCTCATTTATAAAACAGAGGTGGTGGATACTTACGCGCTTTTGTATAATGCTTCGCAATGGTGGGATGGAAAAGCTCTGTATAAACATACGGTATTAGGATTATTGCTGGTTATTGCCATATTGTGCTGCCATCTCAATCAGAGCCCTGTTGGACAGCAATATGGAAAAGCAATGAGTTTTCCAACTCACAGAAAGAAAGAAAGAAAGAAAAAGAAAGTTGGTGTGTTCTTGTTTTTATTATTTGTACTCTTCATGCAGAATGAGGTCCAGAGCCCGTCCGCTAGCCTTGTTTGTGCTGGCGGCGCCTCAATCTGGTATCCCCAGCGCACCAGTGAAACCAGTAGTTACCAATTTTTTTGCAAGCCACACTGGGACTGTAGGAATTTTGTGGTGTTGAAGGAAAGGGGTCCTGCCTGCCAAAGGACTATTTTATGCTTGAGGGTGATTTATAGGCCAAGCTGAGGCACTTGTGGAAAAGGCAAAGCAGCTCTTGGCAGCGCCCCCAGAATCCACTGCAGCTGTGGGGTAGTGAAGTCATCGGCATAACAACCATTGCAAACAGAATAACAAAGTCTGCTCTGTTCTCATTTAAAATAATCTTTCCAATTCAGAAACCACATTAAAATTTACCTTTCTGCATACAATAATAATAATAATAATAAAAAAGGCAGATACTGCTTAGCGGCACAGTGTGAATAGCTCAATTATATTTATGCTTCATTTTAGCCCTTGTATTGTAACTTTGTGTTTTGCCATTTATGCTTTAATGAATGAATGAAGCCAGTGTTGTGTGGTGGAATACATTGGTCTCTGTCCCTTTGTCTCTTCCATTTGCAGCTCTTTACGATGTAGTCATGAAATGATAGTTCAGTTCAAGGGATGGTGGGAAAAGATCAATATTTGTTTTAAATATCACCTTTTATCCTGGCACTAAACTGACTGTGAAAAGAACAATTATTAAATCTCTGCTTCCTCTCCCCCTCTTTCTTTCAGATCCCTTCGGATCCTCCTGCTTCCAAAAAGCCCAAAATTGATGACTCTACTTCCCAGTCTCCAACTTCTGCCGAGAAGGAAAAGCAGTCCAGTTGGTTACGGTCCTTGTCTAGTTCATCCAATAAGGTGACTCTTCAGTAATACACTTGCCCTGTTTAAAGTAAATTGGTGGGAGGAAATTTGTGCTTGGTGTCCCTCCTTTGAAGCCAATGGAACAACACCAAGGATGGCTTTGGCCCGTGCTCTCTAAATGAAAGATGTTTTCCACCTTTCCCTGATGAAGAGTGAATTACTCTGCCCTTCCCCTTCTCCTGCCGCCTCTCAATGAGCATTGGCGGCGTCGCTGTGGGATGAAATAAGCAGTTTCTCGATGCCTCGGAGGTACAGGAATCCTGAAAGGCCCTGGAGTCCCAGGTGGTCTCTTGCAAACCACATATTATTTGTTGGCAAGCAACAACTGAATGGGATTTTAAATCTAATCCAACCTGGCTCTTCCAGCGAAAAGCACTAAGCAGTTAGGTCCAGCAAGCCGATCCCGTTGGGGAATTGTGTTAGAGATAACAGAACCCAAGCGTGCGCGCACACACACACACACATCAATAACTTTCCTTTGCAGTTTATACTTTTGAAAGATATACTCAGTGGTGACCAATTTTTGTTTATTTTTCTCTTCCTTTCTTTCCTTCCCTCCCTTGCAGAGTATTGGTTGTGTCCATCCCCGTCAGCGCCTCTCTGCTTTCCGGCCTTGGTCCCCTGCTGTTTCAGCAAACGAGAAAGAGCTCTCGACACATCTTCCCATACTGATCCGAGACGGGTAAGAAGACTTGAGCCATGGGGTGGGAGGGAGAATCAATTTTATATTACAGCAAGCCCCTTTGTGGGTGTTTCCCTTGCACTGATATGAGTGGCTGTGTTGTTTGGTTCAAGTCAGTCTGCTGGCAGTGCAGTGAAAGCATTTGCAGCCGCAGTTTTAAGTGATTCTGGGGAGGGAAAACAAGAAAATGGCAGTATTTGTGCATTCACTAATTCGGTTTTCTTGAGTGAAACGTGCCTCAAAAGATTGCGAAATGAAGGATCTGTCCATGCGTCGTTGCTAGTTCAGTGGTGCAAAGAGACAAGCATTTTGTGCAGTTGGTCTAGAGTTTTTCCCATCTGCTGTTTAAAGATGGCTTGACCAACAACTTCTAGGATGATGGGTGGCATCTGCTCCAAGTTGGTAGGGACCAGTTGTTATCACCAGACAGCTCTTTGGTGGCCCCTGTGAAACCTCTTGGATAGTCTCCTCCCAGGTCAGTAGCACACAGGTGCCCGTCACCAAATCACTGCCAAAGCTGACACATTGACTCCCTTGTTGGCAGTCTCAGCAGAAATGCCCTGGATTGAATGGGCCTTGGAGCCCAAATCATCCTCTTGGCCAGTACCGGTGATCTCATGGGATCAGGGTTGAGACCCCCTGGGCAAGATGGTGCATGGAAGCATCCACTCCTGCTGCATTTGTTGTTCCTCATTCTATACGTCTCATTTCACATGCCCTAAATTCATTCTTTTTAAGGCACTCAAGCCACTATCCATGTACTGTATCCATCTGTTAAATTTACTGTCTCTACAATCTTGTCCCTTTGGCAGGCGCTGTTGAAATATACTGAGACAGCTGTCCCTAGTAACACTCAAACTCTGGCTCATGGCATCAGTTTGGTTTGTCCTTCCGGACATCTCGATTTCATACTTCCTAACACACACTGTTCTAAACCCGTTTTATTGAATGTACTAGTGTTTCAGAATTTAAGGGGCCTTCCGGTTGTTATGGGAATGAACTGAATTGGCTTCCGAAGCCATGCCTGTTCAAGTCAGTCTTTATTGGTTATTATTATTATTACAGCAGCACCAGAGATTAGAGCCCCATTGTGCTTGGGGCTGAACGTCCACAGAGAAGAATCCCTGCCCCAAAGAGCCCACGATCTAAATAGATAAGAAAAACAAGTGGGAGGGGAAACAAAGATGCTAACTCGTGCAGCATATCGGGGCAGAGCTGGGAATAGACCCCAGGTCTCCAGCGTCCTTCCCATTGCTCCCATCCTTCTGGCTTTACACATTCTGTCCCCCTGCATCAGCCCACGATTTATGTCTCCCAGGCCCCCCATTCTGCCCCCGGTTATTTTTAGGGAGGTTTCAACAGCATTTCTTAGCACTGCCACCCCCACTCCTTTCAGCAAATCCCCCAGTGCCTTAGTGGTCATTCCAACCTGGCTGCTTCGATTTTTATTTCAATTGTTTTTTCCCTCCCTTCTGTATAGTTCTCTCATTTTTTTGAATATAAGGGTCTGTACATGTACAAATGTGCTCAGATCCATGTGATTCTGCGTGCATATCTATATACGAATGTTGGTTTGGCTGTAACTGCAACAGGGGCTGCCCATGGAAATCTCCATTGACACCTGGAGGTCCAGATTTTCAGAGAGCGTTGACGTTGTGACTGCAATCTGTGCTTGTGCATAGTGTGTATAAATGTATACCCTATTTGCTTGTACATGAAAACTTGCTTTTGCGTGTACAAATTATGCAGCTGAGGCTTTGACAGCCATCGTTGGAAAGTTGCTGTTATGGACCTGATTCTGCTCTCACATTCGTTTTCATACCAGTGTAGTAGTTACTCCTGATTTACACTGGAGCAAGCATGATCAGAATCAGTCCCTGTCTAGGCAGTGGTGGTAGCGCTGCTCTTACTGGAAATTGCTTGACACGTTCCATTACAAGTCCCTGTTTTCAGTTGTTTATAACTTTGCCAAATTTAAACTGCTCAGGTTGACAACTTTCATGCCAGTCTGACTGAATTTTTTTGAAAAGTTAGGAAGAGACTGGGGGAAATACAATGCTTTGCTCCTGTTAACAAAATGGTTGTAAGAATTTTTTTTAAGACGCTCCAGCACTCCATGCTTTGAAAAAAGCGCTTGGAATTTGGCTGGGTAGTCACCCTGGTTTCGAGCATGTGTCTTGCTGTCCCTGTGAAAATTCATCCAAATTTGGCAGTTATAAGCCTCTGAAAAATCTTAGTTTGCACGTGCTCGGTAGAGACTTTACCATATAATTAAAGATTGTTTCTCACTGCATAATTGCAGGGGGTCTGAATTAAGGCTACATCGGCAACCTTACCAACCTTTTGAGTGCTTGACGTTGCAATCTTAATGTTCTTTTAACATAGTTCATTGAATGTAATATAATATATATACACACTCACGTACATGTGATCTGGAAAAATTAATTATGCACTACAGAATGTTGTTGGCACTCTATTGGCTTTTTTCCAGGCTGTGCAATCTCAAAAGTTGGAAGGCAGTTGTGGGTGGTTAGATGTAAAAGCACCATATCTTGGAAGAATCCATAAAGCTCCAGAGACAGAACTGTAGAAACAGCATTTAACATACGGGAGACTTGACGATCTGGTCTCTTCCATGTTCACAGTATTTAGCCTGTAATTCCTGTTGAACTGAGTGGAGGTTACGTGTCTAAATCCTCTGTGCACTTAGAACAGCATGGAGCACTTAATGGGTGGAGATCATAGGGCCAGATTCTCAGCTAGTGTAAATCTGGGTTGAAATCAAGGCCGTTCCGCTGAGTTGCGCCAGTGGAGGATCTGGCTTTTTTCAGTCTACGATGCTAGTTAGGAGGCATTTTGAAGGCAAGAATGGGACTGAATATTTTGCCTTTTTCCTTTGTCTCCCCCCTTCCCGAACAGTTTTTACTCCTACAAAAGTTTCGAGAACGCTGTGGCCCCCAACGTGGCTCTTGCCCCTCCTGCTCAGCAGAAGATTGTAAGCAGTTCCCCATGTGCCACAGTGGTGTCACGGAGCAGTGAGCCAATGAGCAGCCCGGTCCAGCCACGGAAAAGGAAGCTGACTGCAGACAACCCAGCAGTCCCAGACACAGTGAGCACCGTCCCTGCTACCGAAGAGGACAAAGAGTCAGAAGCAGAGATTGAAGTAGAAACCCGGGAGGAATGTAAGTGTGAGTTACCTGCCTTTATTAATTTTTTTCCTGAAATCATTTTGGGGTTTGGTTTTCCGGAGGAGTCCAAGGAAGTTACACTCCAATGGGAGTTGAGCGCCTAATGTGATCTAGATACCCAACTCCCCGAGGCCCCTCTGAAAATCCCAGCCTTAAATAATAGTGAGAAACGGAGGCACAAGTCAAAAGTGAAATTTTCACTGGCGGGCACCCCAGGTGCACACTCACAGAAAAGCACACGCGTTAGATGCAGCCACAAAACCTCACACTTGCATTAAAATGGGTGAACGCCCGTGCAAATGAGTATACCGTACATCCCATGCCCTCTGGTGCCAAAAAATTCTGCCCTGGGACTTGCATGTGCAGTCAGCTATTTTTCCCATGCAAATGGTGGTGCACACACACACACACACAGTTTTATTTCAGAGGGAACATGTGTCCCTATGCGGTCCAGTTTCAAATTCAGGGAACCATCACATACTTATGTACAACCTAAGTCCCACTTCAGCCCTGTTGTGACGGTTTAACTTCAGCGAGGGTAGGATCAGCCCTTAAGCAGTGCACAGGGTTGGTGCTGCACCTCTGCGCAGAGGTGAATTTCACCTACCGAGACTAGCGGGATATCCCTGTCCAGTTCTTCCCCAAAGCACTGGCAGTGTTCTCCAGATGGAGAGTGCAGAGAGTTTGTATGCAGCCAATGAGCTCAGTGGGCTGAATCCCAAAGTCTGTGCTCAGACAAAACTCCCGCTGAGTTTGATGGGAGCCTTGTAGCCCTGTGCATTGCTTAGTCTATATTTCCATCGTACGTCAAGGCATAAAATGTTTCTTTCCTTTCTCTTGTTTTTAAGATTATCCATTGCGTGGCTCCTCCTTTTTAAAGGGTCTCATCCCATTTTAACTTAAGTTGCTGTGAACATTTGTTAACTTCAGGATTTTGTTTGTTTGTTTCAGTCACCTCGTCCCTGTCCTCGCTCTCCTCCCCATCCTTTACTTCGTCCAGCTCTGCGAAGGACATGAGCTCACCTGGCATGCAAACCACGGCCACTGTCAGCAACTCCTTTGAGGTTGCCACCCATGCTGAGTCTCACAGCAGCGGGTTGGAAGCTGAACTGGAGCATCTAAGACAGGCCCTGGACAGTGGCCTGGATACTAAAGAAGCCAAAGAGAAATTCCTCCATGAAGTGGTTAAAATGAGAGTGAAGCAGGAGGAGAAGCTAAATGCTGCCTTGCAGGCTAAACGAAGCCTGCACCAGGTAATGATGGACAACAGCTTCCTGTTGTCACTGTCTGCATATTCATCTCCCAGGGGAACCACTTGGCTAGTCTCGTGTGGAAAATAATTCACCTGTCTTCCCAGAACATTAGCAGCATTCCCTGGAGTTCTGGTTCTAAACAGAAAAGGGCCAATGCATGGCATACGGGAGCTTTGGCTATATGTCACATGTGCCACCTGCCCCTGCTTAAGAGAGAATCCCAAATTTTTAACCAAAACCAAACCACTTTCCTGTTTCCCTTTGAGAAGCTCGCCAGGCCCAGCCAAGTTAAAATCGTTTTCACTTCGATGAAGTTCACACGTTTCTCTCCTCAAAGAGGCCTATTGAGAGCTTTTGTCTGTTGGGAAGCATGTAAAATTTCCCCATTGTCCAACCCAGGCGCATCTCGGCAGGGCATTGCATGGTGTGGCATCAGCACGCTGGGGGAGGGAGGGAGTTGAGATTGCCAGTCTGTAGTAATTATCTACATTTGTGTGCTAGTAACCAGGGTCCAACCTCCTCTTAAGATACTGCATATGAAGCAGAACTAGCTGGTAACTAGTTGGAGCATAACTAGGTGGTATTGTACCCCAGTTCAATGGAGCAGGGATATTGTCTGTAACAATGAGCGCCGTGTTATTTTTAGCATAGAGGGCTGGTAGCAGAGACCCTCTTGCTATTTGCCAAAAGCAGGCACACACATTCCTGTCAGCCAACAAGTGCCAGGTTTGGGGGGCCAGTGGCTCATATGTAGACGTGATTTGTTTGCACTAAGGTTTTGCACCAAGACAAAGCAATATTAGAACCTAGGTGCTCTATCACAGTCCCCGTAGCAGGAGAAAGGTGCCTGGATGAACCTGATTCGTATTTGAACCAAAGTCTGCCCAACCTATTGGCATTGACTCCTCCATTAGGCTCAGTTTTGCAGTCCGTTCTGTCACACCAATATACTGCTCCTGTAAGGAAGTCTTCGGTATCACAGGTTGCAAGGTCAGCTCCCAGGGGAAGGGAGGTCCAGTGCTTCCAGTCAGCCAGAGCTGCTCACTCACTCTGTGTGCCCTCGGGGCAAGCCACTCGATTTCCTTGTGTTTCATTGAAGCCAGCTATGTATAATATAAAAAAAGCAAACCTCATTTATGTAAAACAGGTGCTGAACCCAAGTTGAGCTTTACAGGATTAATCAAGCAAAGGAGTGTGTCAGACCGGGAGAGAGGATGCGTCTGGCCCGAGGTTTCCATTTTGGCAGCTCTGGGTTTCCGATTCCACGGAGCTAGGGCGTACGTGCATGCGCGCCCCCCATGTCGGGGTTGAGCTAACAATGGCCTGGCTGGGAAGTGAGATTGTCAAAGGAGTGAATTTCCCATGACCCGACTGCAGAGTGTTACTTACCAGAGACACTGTTGCTGTGAGGGTTTGCCTCTGACAGAGAGGAAGTCCAGCTTCTGGGAGGAGATGGGAGGAGTCATGTGCCATAGTTCATTTAATTTAACCCTTTAAAAAGCCAGATCACAGCCAATTTTTGCAAAGAGAAACATAAGTAATTGGTGTATAGGCATGGCATTGAGATTAGAATATTTGTAATTTGAAAAGCATGTGATACATGAACGTGGGCATGTGTCCGTACACACACACACAGTTTTTTTAAACTACCAGTTAACCTTTTCCTCTCCGTTTGTTCCCTTTCATTTCCCTCTGGTTTAATTTGATTTCACAGCTCTCGCTTGGGTGATAGTTTTCATGCTAGTCATTCATGCTAAGAACTTCGATGGTAGGAAGGGAAAAGTTTTCTGAGTGAAGCGGAGGTTGGATTTACATTTGCTTTTACTGCAGGGGTTTCCTAACCATAGCAGAGCATTCCATTCCATGGGCTACTTGGCAGTAGCCCTTGAACTGTACGCAAACATAGATAATACAACAGAACTGCTTAATGTTAGAAATTAAAAATAAGTAACTTATTTTTACACTCATCACACGTCTGTTCCTGGCCAGCTGTGATGGAGTTGCTTGTTGCTTGATTTCAGCAGCTGTAGAAAGCCTCTTGGCCTGCTTTGCCCTTCACAAGCGGCACTCACGGGCTGCATTGTCCTCACTTTGTGCAGACTCAATTTCGTGTCTGCAGATAAAGGGCAGCCATTAGAGTTATCTCATTTGATCCTTTGCTCTGAAAGTTGCTTTCAGCCAGTGCAGCATTCAGCACTAACGGTGGATGCACCAAAAGAGTGAACTCCAATTCATCTTCATTCAGCCTTAGACAGTGACAGCCATTTTGCTTGACAGTAAAGATGAGAAATTTGGATCAAGCCTGGCTTTTTAAAAGCCCTGAGTTTGGGTACCTTGGGCCCAGGATTTTGGCTCTGTTCATTAGAAGGATTGGGTCATTTGCAAAATTCAGAACCAGGTTCAGATTTCAGCCTCCTTCTCTCTCCCCCCCCCCTTCCTCCAAACCGCAGTGGTGTTTGAATCTCGGGGTTTGGTTTAGATCCATTTCTCCTTTCCAGTGTCACTTGAGAACATATGAGCAGACCTGTAGTCCATCTAGCCCAGTATCCTGTCTTCTGACAGTGGCCAGTGCCAGGTTCTTTACAGGCAATGAACAGACCAGGGCAAATAGCGAGTGACCCATCCCGTCATCTAGTCCCAGCTTCTGGCAGTCAGAGGTTTAGGGAAACCCAGAGCATGGGGTTGCATCCCTGACCATCTTGGCTAATAGCCATTGATGGACCTAACCTCCATGAGCTTATCTCATTCTTTTCTGAACCCAGTTCCTTGCTGTAATCTTGTACGTGCTGCACCTATTCCGCTGGCACTCCGTAACTGTTTGTGCCTTCCAGGAGCTGGAGTTCCTGCGCGTGGCTAAGAAGGAGAAGCTGAGAGAGGCAACCGAGGCAAAGCGCAACTTGAGGAAAGAGATCGAACGTCTTAGAGCTGAGAATGAGAAGAAAATGAAAGAAGCCAATGAGTCGCGGATACGACTAAAGCGGGAACTGGAGCAAGCCAGGCAGATCCGGGTGTGTGACAAAGGATGCGAAGCAGGCAGGCTGCGGGCCAAGTACTCTGCCCAGGTAAGGCCAGGCCTTTGAGAGCTGATCGACATGCAAGTTTCCTTGCTCTCCACTTTCTAGGGTTAGTCAGTGCCATCCTTCTTCAGCCTGTATGCCCCTTGACTCCAGCAGGGATATTCTCTGCCCGTCTAGGTATCTACATGGCCCCTCTGTAGTATTTGGGCCATCCTGAGACGTAGGAAAGAATTTTCTCCCATTTTACTGATGGGGAACTGAGGCACACAGAGGTGACTTGCCAGGGTCACATAGGGAGCCTCTGACAGAGCAGAGATGGACCCAACCCTCTTGAGGCCCAGTCCAGCATCTTACGCACAAGTCCATCTTTCCTTCTCCAGAGTTGGTCCCTCCGCAAACGCCCCCAGGTCTGAGGAAGGTCACACAACCAAACTTGGTAGCTCAGGCCTTTTAGCTAGAGGCAGTGCCAAGAATATTTCTTCCAGGTGAAATTCACCCTGTGCAGGGAGCCGGCACTGGGTTTAGTACCATTGCAGTCCCAGTTGAGCCCCATAGGCCATGTGCTGTCCCTCTGCACAGGGGTGATTTCATCTAGTGAGAGTATTAGGCAAAGTCCCATAGATTTCAGTCACCTTCCGTAATAGGATTTCCCTAGCGATCACCTGCAGATTCAGAAGGCTAGGTGTAGCTCAGGCTGGACTGCACCAGGGGGAGGGAGTTTTGCTTATCGCTGTGAGCCAGCAGGAGTGTTTCAGTTCGAGCTTTTAAATGAAAACCCGCACCCCTACCCCCTCTCACCTTCCCCCAGCCAGATTCTCTTCTAACAAAACAGTCAATAGCTTATTCACACCAACAAAAGCCATGGGCCCCAGAGCTCAGGCTGTACGTCCTTAAGTCACCTTGTTGTGTCTTGGTCTTGCAGGGCATGTGGAATGCAAGGCCATCCACTGTTCCAAGCCCCCTGAAATGACCCAGCATAATAGGCTGAGCTGAGAGCCGAGTGGCAACCTCCTGGATTTCCGTGAGAAACACCGGTCAAGAGGAGTCTGCTGCAGTGCTCTGCCCCCCCCCCCATCCCCTCCCACTGAAACAACCTGATTGGCCCTTAATTCCCTCCCAATTAAAAGAACAAGGCCCCATACCCCTCATTAACCCTCTCGCAACCTCACCCTCTCCAAAAAAAAAACCAAGTAGGACTTCTCCCCAATTCCCTCCCCTCACCGGCCTCCCTCCCCTGTACTGCCTTCTAGTCTTATTCAGACCTGCTCCCTCCTTGACCACCTTCTGCCAAACCATCTCCCCCTCTGGTTCCCAGTCCAAGAGTCTGGCTAATAAAAGGTTAATAAGGGAGATGGGTCAGAGAGAGCCTAGATCACAGGGAGTTTCTGGCAGGAGGGAGATGGGGCAGGTTTCGCTCCCAGTCCAAGCAGCTGACTTCCTGCCACGGTTCCTCTCTCCACACTAACTTCCTATATCCCGCCACCCTCCCACCCATCCTTCCCCTAAAACTCCCAGAAAGCAGCCAGTTTGATGTTGTTTTAGCATTGTTTGGGGGAGGATTAATATGATCTTTGCTAGATATAGGCCTACACAAAGAAGAGATACATGTAACATCTATGCAAACACCATAGAAGTAGCATGCATTTGAACTACTAGAGGATTAGGTCATGGATCAACATAGGTGTGTTCACATTAGTTCATACCTCATGTAGCATGTCATCACACACACATCCCCTCATTTGGGGCTGGATTGCAGGTCACATTCTTCCCAAATACCAAAACTTACAACTGTAGCCTTTCAAAGAGTCTCGTTAAAAGTAAAAAAGAAAAAGCAACAACCTAAATACGTCTAACCCTGGTTCTCAATAACGGGAAGGGGAGTGGTCCGATTGTACCATTCTGAGACATGCCTAACCAGGAGACCAGAAGCAGGAAATGATGTGGGCTTCCTCCCTAGCATCTCAGGATGTCTCACTGATAAGAGGTGTCCAGACTAAACATACCCAGACTGAGCTCTGTTGCAATGGGCGTTACCTGCAATTGACTTCCACTTGAGCAAAAAAAAACAACCCAAGGCAACAGGTCATGCAGATAAAATAAACTCTTTAATTACTGGATAGAGCTTTGCTGAGCTGCAGCTGTGTCCTTTCTTGCATTTTGCTCTGGATGAAAATTTGACTTTTTTTTTTTTTCCCCCCATCTCCCCAAATACCCCCAGTTGTGGGGTTTTCAGCTATATGAATCTAGCATGAGGGCTAACATTTGCAAAAGCATCTAAATGACACAGGAGCCTAATGCTAAAAAAAGTGACATAGGCACTTAAGAGGCTGAAATTTTATAGAAAGTCAGGGGGACTTACACACATAAGTGCTTTTGAAAATGTTACACTATCTGTCCTTGTGCCTTACTTTGTAGCTGCCAAACTTGCACAGGAAGAGAGAGCGAGAGAATGTATGTGTGCATGTGTTTTCATAATTTGTTATTGATTTCAAAGAAACCACAGTTCTTTTGCCAGGTTTAGTCTGTGAAATAGCATCAAACAAGCATGAGAAGACATAATAAACCCAGGGCTGGGCTTGCTGACAGGAGTTTAAAAGAGTTAGGGGCCAATCTCCTAGTGAAAGGCATGGCAAGTTGGGCCTGAACTCCCGTAGCCCAGCCCAGAGGGCTAAATTCAGAGTGGGTGGACAGAGCCTGCACCTGCTGATGACAGGTCTGGTTTCGGCCCCAGGAAGGCAAGGCATTCCTTTTCCTGGGAAATGACATGAGGCTGCAGATGTTTTCTGTTACCTCTGCCGCTGGGCTAAGTTATAGTTTACAAGTCAACACAGTCCTCATCCCCATCTACACCCCTGCATGCTGGGGCTTGCACTTGCCCCTCTGAGCCAGACTCTCAGACTATGGGGCCTGAGTCGGTGAGGAGCTGAGCTCTTCTCGGGGTTTGGGGTTGCTGAGGATGGTCACAGGCTGATGCCCGATGCTGGAATAGGGGTGTTGGTTCATCTTCCCACTGCAGCATAACTGGCAGGCCCCAGATTCGGAGTACAACCCCTCCCTGCCTGCAAGGTGCTAACTCTTCCCCTCTTGTGTAAGGATCCAGGGGCTGTTTGGCCCGATTTCTGTGTGAGAAGCCCAGCTGCCTTTTCAACATCAGTTTATGGCCCAGCAGGCACTTACAGCTCGTGCTGGTCAAAAACTGAGTTTGATCAGCTGCCAGTTTAGCTTTTACCTCAGCACGCCAAGGCCTGAAGGGACCGCTCTGAGCCTCTAGTCTGACCCCCGGTGTAGTCCAGGCCTTGGCGCTTCTCCAGAGTAATTCCTGTTTGAGCTAGAGCAGATCTCTTAGAAAAAACATCCAATCTTGATTTAAAAATTACCCAGGCCGGAGAATCCACAACACCCTTAGATAAATTGTTCCAATGGCTAATTTACCCTCCATGTTAAAAATGTAGGCCTTATGTCGAGTCTAAATTTGTCAAAGTAGCACCAAGAGCTACAGCCTGTGGCTTGGGTTAGGGGAAATTTCAGATGGTCACTTCTTTCCTCCTTCAGCCCCACACCTCAAACCCAGCTGCCCCTCTACATTACTAGCGTTGTCTTCCCTTCCTCAAATTCCCTTCCATTTACCATAAAAGGCATAAGGATTCTTGCTTGTGTGTAAGATGAGATCACAGTTGGCCTTTTTTGGGGGCTGTGACCAGCTTGAAGGTTCAGCTGGCCAATCGGAATGCATTTTTGGAGAATCATGCTACTAACTCATCTAAAATGCATGGAAATTAGTCACGTTAGCTATTTAGCAGGCAGTTACACCCTTTCATGTTGCTACCTTAAAAGTCCATGGGCATAAGAACTGCACTGGGTGGGGCTTCAGTAAATGACCTACTTGGTCTTTCCCATCTCGAACGCTTCCGAGATTCATACCATACCACTGGTCCATCATGTCTTGTAATAGTGAAGTGCTTCCAAGAAGGCAAACAATTCCCATAATGCACATAGTAACTGTATGGCGGGGGGGGGGGGGGGTAGGAATGTTAAATTCCTTCCTGGTCCTGCCATTGATCCTCTTATCCCCTGCAGCAGGAGGTTACGTTTCTGGTCTCATAGCCCATATAAATTACTCGTGTTATTGGTCTGAATCCTTTTCTGAATCCACAAAGACACAATGGAACCGAAATACTATGGTGTGGTTTTTTCCCCCCCCCCCATTTCCTTTCCTCTAGATTGAGGACCTACAGGTTAAGCTTCAGCATGCCGAGGCCGACAGGGAACAGCTCCGAGCTGACCTGCTGCATGAGAGGGAGGCTCGGGAACACTTGGAAAAAGTGGTCAAGGAACTTCAGGAGCAACTGTGGCCTAAATCAAGCAATCATCCCAGCAGTGAGAACACAGCAAACGACATTGAGAACTAAACAACATCTAATCCATAAACAGAATGACATATATGCACAGTAAGGGAGGATGTGTGGGGAGTGTGTGTACGTGCATGTGTGAGTGGGTGTGTGTTGCTCTGCACACATCTATAAATATAGACTTTATTATTAGTTGGAGGGCAAATGTTACTCTTTACAACAGAAGCACTGACTTACGCCTCTTTTTTCAATCCATATAGCACAACATCTTACTGTGCCTATACCACACAGAGTGTTTATAAACTAAATACTTTTGAGTCCACTGCAAATTTTCTACTGGCAAACTTCAAGCAAGCAGCATCGTCCAACTCAAACCAGAGTAGAAGGCAAGCAACCATGGCAGTGCTGTGACATTGTTCTTGTGCTTGCTGGAACACTTTGGAATGTCAAACAAAAACAAAAAACCCAACAAACTTTTTGTTATAAGCTATTTAAAATTATTACATTATACAGACTTGGTATTAAAACAATTAACGAGATTTTTTTTTTTTTTATATAATGAACCTTTAAAAGAAAAAAAAAAAAATAAAAAAAAAAAAACCCTTGATGCACAATTTTTAAATGACTTGTTACAGGCTTTGGGATTCTTACTGTAGAAGCCCTCTGGTGATGTTGCCATTTCATCAGCAATTTTCAACCCCTTAGGAAGCCATCACAGTTTTAACACTGTCATGTGGTTTTATGAGAATTTCAGAGTGCTTTTCAAAGTTGATTTTTTTTTTCTTAGTATGAACGATCCTCGTTTTCCTCTACTAACCCCAGGAAGAAAGGAGGATTGAGGGGAGTGCATGTGTGGGGAGAGTGTATGCTAGAGAGAGATAAATCCAGCCTTATTGACTTCAGTGTTTGTAAATCACGCCATAATTTTTAAAGATATCTGTCATTAACTGATGTGTTCAAAAGACTCACTTCATCCAAGAGCACTTCAGTTTTAGGAAAAGAATGGAAGAAGAAAGAAAGTGAATGAACTTAAGTTGGTTGAAAGATAAGCAAAAAAAAAAAAAAGAGAGAGACATGCATTTTGAAGTCATTCTGAAATCTTTACTTCAGTTTTCCAGAGAACTCATCTTTGTTACACAATCTTTTCATAAATTCAGTATTGATTTACCTACTCGGCATCGTCTGTCAGGATTACTGTGCCCGAGGACAGTGCAACACCAGATACTACAGAAAACTAAGAATGACACTTTTGCTGCTGTGAATAAGGCTACATCTTTTATTTTTTTTAAATAATAGAAATTACTTTAATTTTGGGATCCAAGCCGCAGCCCTGGAATAAAAATGCAGCATTACATCACTTTGTCTTTTTTTATTATTATTATTATTTTTTTTTTTTTTAAAGAACTGCACTTTGTCAAAATCTTCCTCTGCATTTTATTCCACAGTTGTAAAGTTTACAGGTTGATTATTCTAGGTTGAACCGTGCTTTAAAGACTTCAAAACATCCGCCTGATTCTCCACAGCCTAGCACCTCGTGTCGTCATTCACCCAGGCAAAGTGAATGCAGACCAGGGATCGAGCTACCAAATCAGGATTTTCCATATACTTATGCTAGTAGCAGTATTTTACACTCGCTTTGCATGGTTGTACATATCGACAAAGTGGAAGGATGTGGAGATTTGGGCTTTCCCCATGTGTTTATCATATATGCAGTGCTTTACTGAACAAGGGAAATCGCTTAATAAAAAGCAAACATATCTCAATGTGCACCCAAGTTTAAAGGCATAAGGTAAAAATTGGACCTGGGGCTGCTGATGTGCCTTCCAGCTAATTTTTCCTTTCAGCATCTTGTAAAGGAAATGTTGACTTTTTTTTCCAACTTTAAACAACAAAAAAAGTAACCTGTGCATCATTATAAACAGAAGTTATTCTCAGTGAAGCACATTCCGAGTAATCTATATTTTCTTTTTGGACATTTATGCAAACTGTGTAAGCTTGAAAATTATTTCCCAGTAGACAAAAAGCGGCTGCCAATCCTAAAATTATAGTATTTACTTACAGTGCATTAGAGAGAAATAAAAGATTTTTTAATTTTTTTTAAACAAGAGCTGTTTGCTTGAATCCATTATAATAACCATTGTAACTGTGAGCATTAATGGGAAGTAAAGTTCATATATGTTTTAGGTACAAAGAAAGAAGGTATATGAAAGGAATCAAATTATGGGGACAATGCAGAACTGTGGGGAGCAAACAAATTGTTATACCAAGTAAATTACGTGAAATTAAAATTGTCTGTTTAAACAGGGGATTTTGCCCTTGTGTGTTTGGGATGGTGGAGATTGAATTAAGGTGGAAATCTCCTCTTCTAAAGTGCAATGCAAAAGGAACATTGTTTATGCAGGGGTATTTTTTATGTGGTTTTTTTTTGCTTCTTTGTATTTTTTTCTGCAATTATTAAAAAAATCATATGCATGGAATTAAAATCTCTGCCATATGTATATTCATTAATGGGCATTATTACTGTCTTATGTAAAGGGTTTGTTATGCAATATGCATAAAACTGTGTTCTCAGCCTTATGATTTCCACATCTGTATTTTTCAGTTATTTCTTCAAGGGAAACTAAATAATTTAGCTTTAGCTGAGTGTTGCATATTTTAGAAGGTCCCTCATATGCTGTGCTCTATTGCCATGTCAAGAAATTACACATAGAACAAACCTGTTGTTTTTCATCAGGCTGGCTTCTTTGAAGCAGAATGTTTTTATTGTTTCGTCTAACCTTTGAATGTCTCTTTCCTTATGACCTAACAAAAATTTGCAGCGTGTTGAAGCCTCTACCTGTCTCAGCCAGGAAAAAACAACCTTCTTACCTGCAGCACCTCATATATTTCATCCTTGTAATTATGCAGCATGTATATTTATTCACTGGCATAACTTCTCCTGTCTGTATGAAGTCTTTTTCCTCAAAAATGAATGAACTCTGCATTTTTTTCAGGGAAGGAAAAAATAAGATCGTAAATAGCTTTATCAAGAAACACCAAGGAAGAAAATTCTCCGTATTCAAACTGCATGCCATTAGGTTTTAAAATTTTTGATTTTTCACATGATATGTTACAATAAATCTGTTGAGTGTAATCTCTTGCCTGCTAGCTTTACTGTGTTTCAAATTAACATCAAGCACTAAGTAGGATTATTTTAAATTGGAGGAAACAACCTATTAGAAAATCACTCTAAGTTAAGGTTTTAAACCCATGCAGGGAAATAAAGTTAAGAACCCCACCCCCAGTAGTGCAAGAAGACTGTGGGAACAAACTATCTACACCAGCAACTCATTCATAGGAGAGTTCTGTAAAATGGGATTTGATTTTTTTTTTTGTCTTTCCAAAACACATTTTGCAATGAGCAAATAGTAGAATTTTGGCATCGCTGAAGAGCATGTCCTTTTCTTTTTAACTCAAAACTTCTGTGCCGGGATTATAAATCAATGTATTGGGGAAAGAGGATATCTGGGTATTTTCAACATCACACAGGCACTTGATTCTAGAAAACGTCTGTTGATAATGGTGGTAAGACTTGTGAGAGAAACTTTTGTGATGGTTGTTCGCAGTGAGGGAGTTCTGTGTGTAATTTCTGCGTATGCAACATTGCACTGAAGTAAATCCCTCATAGATGGGATTGCTCTTACTTTGACCACAGCTGCATTCCATGTGCACCCAAGTCAGTAGGGGGCCTAGGAATTGTAAGACTGCATCCCCTCCCTTTGTATTTGCCATTTAGTTTCCTTTAAGAAGTTAAAAGGGAGAAGAGGTGTTTTATACAGGCTATTGACTCTCCCTATACTTAAAAATATATTACCAAGATAATTGTATATTCAGTTTAATTACTCACTGTTTCTATACTGAAAGAAGACTTAACGAAGGGAAAAAAAAAAAAAACCAACAGCAATAACATTCATATCTATGGAGCAGCTACTAGTATACATAATACTCTGCTTTTCAAACAGAACTAGCCAATGTAAAAAAATAAAGAAGTAAATTCAACATGTAAATACTTTTTTTTTTCTTTTTTTTTTTTTCATTTTACCCTGTTGTATTATAAGTGTATATGGTGTTTACTTTTTCAAAACTCTTTCTTACCTGGTAGTTGTCTTGTTTTATGAGTTGTGTTTTTAACTAAGAAGAACTTTTGCTGTTAAGGAAAAACAAAACAAAACAAAAACAAAACAAAAACTTTTGCAAGTTTTCAATGTGGGTTAACTTTTCGACATCATTTGCATTTTATTTGTCCTTATTTTCATTGTAAAGTATTTTATTATTACAAAAAATGATTTCCCCTTGTCAGTTCATGTGTTTTAGAGGGAGGTTTTGTTTTTTGAGGTTTTTTTGTTTTTTAAAAGCAAAAGAATTCACAGAAATGACTTTTTTTTTTTTTTTCTTTTTCAATTGAGGGAAAAAATCTATACATTTATAATAGCCAATAGCATTTCAGCACATTTTGTTATCCTGGTCTCTCCTATGCTGCTGCTAATGACAATATTATGACTTACTCTACTATTCTAGAACTATTTTTATGTAATTAATGTATGCTTTCTTGTTTATAAATGCCTGATTTAAAAAAAATAAGAAAAAAGCTTGGCATATTTATCTATTGCGCTGTGTACCTTGATAGTCCTTTTACATCCCCTTTTCCACATCCCCTCCCCTGAAACAGATAATATTGTAAAATAAAGGACTTTATGAGATTATGTATGAAAATAGCTATGCTTATATACCACAGTGACTGAATGTACAGTGTATAGACGCATTACCTAAAATAAAATTGTTTGTCCAGAAAACAACCCTAGATAAGCTATGTTCTTTGAATATCTCAGTAGCGGCATGGTGGCCTAAATTCTCAAGAGTGGCTAAGGTCCAGCTCCTCAAAGGTATTTATGCACCTAACTCCCATTGGAGCGACCTAGCTCGTTAGCTTAAAGGGGCCTAAATTTCAGAAAGTGCTGAGCAGGCAATGACTGAAAATCAGGCTCCTTTAACATGTTGCGACTTGGGCACCCAAAACCAGGAGTCGTTCTTGATCATTCAGGCCTGGGGGTTTGTCCCCCTCTCTCTCACTCACACATCAGCAAATGTTCGGTAGCATTTCCCTCTCACTTCTGTCAAAATAATAGTCACCCCAGTCCATCTCTGCTCAAAAATGTGATCCTATTCACCGCTCAAGAGCCCCAACTTCATATGGGGCCTAGTCCCGTACACCCGCTCCTGTGCAGGAGAGTCAATTTCTATGGTGGTAGCGCCAAAGGTCCCAATGACAGGCCCCTGTTACATGAGGGGCTGTGGAAACACAGGACAAGGCACGTGGTGAACATTTACTAAGATTACCATTCCTCACCATTAGCTGTGAGTGATGCACGGTTTGGGCTCACCAAACAATTCCCATTGAATTAAAAGGGAGCAAGATACACATTGAGGAGCAGATCCTTCCATTAGCACAAAGCCACTCCCCTCCTCTAATATTAAAGGCACTCAGGATCATGCCCAAAGCTAAGGTGATAAGGCCATCTTGAAGGCAA